CAAAACTCACGTTTGAATCATCAGTGGCAACGAAAAACACAGCGGCCTAGCGTGAGCGAAAGCCCCGGCTTAGCGTGAGCTGAAGCCGGGCAAGAGTGAGCTGAGGCGGCGGGGTCGAGAACGGCGGTCCCGGTGAAGGAGCGGTGAAAACGGTGAAAGCCGATCCGGCGATCCACAGCGTGCAGTTGATGTATTTCCTCAGCGACCAGCACGGATCAGCTCTAGGCATGACGAAGCAGATATCGTCCCCTTTTGGAAGGCCAGACAAAGTAGTTTCGCTTTCACAACGAAGCACACAGCGTCTTCACGACATGGCGGCGGCGGCAACAATACTACAGCGAGAATAAAAGTTACTGCCTTTTTTCTTTGCGTGAACATTTGGACGGCGTTATGGTAATATTTCCACATAGTGAGGTAGATATGTGGTGGCGTGTTAGAACGAGCCGTTTTAGGTAGGCGTGGCTGACTCTTAACTTTTATAAAGAATATCTCTTTGGATTTGAGACTTTAGTCTTTGCAACTTTACAGATCTTCTTTATGCACCAAGAGCTTGTAACACTCCAAAGAGAAAGGAAAACTTGAAATCGCATCATATGACCCCTTTAAGTACATGTAGTTAATTAATATTACTCAGAACATACTTGTGTAATTACATTGTAACAACGTCACCTTAAAATACTGTCTTCTGCCCATCCTAAAGAAACTCATTTTCAGGTGCGTGTTATAGGCACCATTTCTGCCTGGGACTTTTTTTGCTGGTGTTTGTGTTTACAAATGATTTGTGTCAAGAATAAAGTAAGAGCTAGCTAGACATAAATTTATAAACTTCAGAATAAGGCGTTTAACGCACTTCCACATATACATACATAATCGTAAACACTTCTTGCTTTGCCAGCTCAGTTTCACACGCTGTTAAGTTTTGAAACACAACTAACATCACAAGTACACGTTGCTTTCTCAGGGGCGCACAAAACGTCTTCTCTTTCAGATCAATTCCTGTCATGGTAAAGCAACCGTTTGAAGAGAATTTACATGTTTTTATCCAGCTATCTGCATAATTAAACATTTGGCTTAATGGCACAGACATTTGATGGAAACTCTATTTTTTTCTGCCACAGTGATACAAGAATGCAATGGTTTTTTTCAGCATTCGCGTCTGCAGTTGCGTACTTGTGTAGAGAATGTTTCTAAATGACTCTTTGCAATGCAACAAAACGTCTTTGGGTGCTTGGAACAACATGACTTGTTGGTCTTGGCCTTTTTTACACCATGCAAGGTGGCTAAACTATGTCTTTCTGAGGCTTGCATGAACCTTTCCGGAATATATCATCTTTCTGTCGCCAACCCTTATGCATAAAAGGCTTTATTTGCACCGAACTCGAAGTTCATTTGCGACAACTGTACAGTTTGCGGCAACAGTTTGCCAGAAGTTTCCAGCTCTTCACCAGTATTGGTGAACAATATAATGGGTTTTATATATTACCAAACAAACCATATCCGTATTTTTGAGGGAAACAAAATGAATGACAACAGCAACAACAAAAAACAAAACAGAAGTGTTTGTTTGAAATAAATGGAACAAGGGATTTTCTCTTCCGCTTGCTTCACATATAAACACCTATCACGTACTTCCAGTGTTTGCCAAACTCACATCCATAGAGTGATGAGCGGGTGATGAGACACATGTCGACAAGTTCACACATTCAGATGTGTGTTTTTACCTATCATCTTGGTATCATTTGAGAGTTTGTAGGAAATACTCTGCGCAGCATGTGTGTGATTGGGTTTTAAATACTGTGTGTTTGTCTGTGTGAATGTGTGTTCCCGGAAACGGAGTTGATCGGTTCCTAGCTGCACTTGCAGGACTTGACAATCATGTTGGAGAGCTGCTCGATTTTGGGGTTTTTTCCGATGTAGTAAAGGATTGTGAGGGGTTCCAGATCCTGAGACACACAGCAAGGAGATGCGGACGCTTCTGGATTGATGGTGTTATAGAGGCCGAGGATCTGAAACAGGACATGCAATGCACTTATTGAAACCATTGTTTAACAAATAGAAACTTTTAAGAAGCTTTCCATCTAGACTTGTACCAACTCCTCCCACAAAATAAAAAGAATGAAATGTCTTACGGTGCTGTGCTGGGTGTCTGCGCTCCACAAATACGGACAGGCTCCCGCACAGAAGTTGGCGTTATAACCTTTGGGTTCGTGGATCCACCTCCAGCCCAGATCCTTCTTGAAGTCGATGTAGAGAGAGCGTAAACAGCAGTTGTCCTGCACATTCCTGTGGGATGATGGGAGACAAACGCAGCTGATGTTCAACCCGATGGCTTGAGGGCCTGAGAAGTTTGACACGCAACTTTCTTCGTTGGCACATTTTTGGTACACTTTCAAACTACAGTATATGCACATAAGCCTTCATACTCTTATTATTGGTGATTAATATATATTATGAAGATTAAAATGAGAAAAAGCCCGTTTTGATCTCAGAAATAACTGCAGTGGCCTTCTCTAGCTCTATGCATATATTCCCATGAGCACACTGATAAAATGGTAACATTTAAATTAACTGTTAAAATATGATTTAACATCACTGAACCAGTTTACAGTATGAACATTCATTTGTACAAACAAACCCAATTTTTAAGGAATAAATCAGGTAGAAATAGCTCTTCAAGGTAACAATTGCAAGTTACCACTTTATGCAGTGCAGTTTTACATGTACGCAAATTTTCTACCATTGGATCCCTTAGTACATTTTGCTTAAGTAGAATATTTTGGTCTGCAAATGCAATTCAGCCTTTGCCGGGAGTTTGATTGACAGGCGATCTGACAAATCATAACGCAGAATCTGCCATTTTGTCCGACAAATAAACCGGACAGGAGAGTCGATTCACTTGAAAAATGGTGTGTACTGACGTCTTTCTGCGATTAAACAAGACACCTTCTGTGGCGCTACAGCGATCATAAAAGAGCCACAAAATGATATTTATTGTTTGAATTTCTTAAAAAATAACTAAATTTGAAAGCTGAAAAGCTTTGAAAGCTTTGTTTCATACTGAAAGTTACCTGCTTGTCCTCTTTGCTCCACCATTTATTATTCAATGCGTGAGAACATGATGTGAGCCGTGAGAGCGCCATGGCTTGTCGGACGTAGCAACAGTAACTAAGGGGGGCAGGTCTTTGCGAAGGGTCAATTGTAGCATGTGCAACCTTCAGAAAATAATTAGGCTAGTAATGCCTTCATTTCATTTCATTTCAATTCTTCACTTTGAAATTAAGTTGGACTTAGATAAAAAAATGTTTACAACTGCTCTCTCTCTCTCTCTACAGTATATATATATATATATGTTAATATAGCATTTGATTTTTCAGCATGAATTACCATTAAATGTGTGAACATGAAGTATTTGAGGAACAGATGATGTTAATAATCAATGTTCGAAATGCCAACTATAACAAATTTTTATATAGATTTAATTTTATAAATATACAATTATGTTTAGTAAATTAATTTTTTTAACTCGTTAATTGAGTATCACATGTACATTTTCTGATACTCATGTTTAGCATTATACACTTTTGTGCTTATAGCTTATTATATGATACGATCAATAGATAGACATTTTGGATCTCAATATTTACCTCTGAATATAATGTGCATGGCAAAACAAAAATTCTGTTAATTTGTTAACAGAAATGAGTTCATCAGTTAAGAAAACTGAGTTATATATTTTAAAAAAATGAAAAAGGAATAATTAGTCTAAATTCATTTTCAAAACGTATATTGGATTAATGTGATTTCTCTGTGGTTAATTCAGTTCTAATTATGACTCAAATAAATCTAAGCATTTATATGCATTTTAAATATTGCCCTACACAGATTTTTGACCAGTTAAAGGCTCCCTAGAATGAAAATGTCCCTGCCTCTTATATAATATATCTTTCATCTGAACATAGCAAATCATGGTTCACAGCTGTGATGTGGTTAATGTCTAATGGCTATAAACCAAAAAAACAAAAAAGGGATGAGTCCTTCGAGACATCCCGCCTAAACCTTCTATTGCAATAGGAAATTAGTCAACACAATAAAAAAAACAAAAAAACGGTTCCATCAAGTGATTTCTTAAAATCCTGAATTCTGGCCAACGCTGCTAATCAGATCAGTCCATTCTTCACTGAACCCATTTTCAATGTCGATTTTTGATTTTACGATTTGGAGAGAAATGTCTGCTAGTTTCTCAGCTTGTTAATACTGGATGTTTTCATGGAATCTGACATATCAGGAAATATAAAATGAACAGCACACTGGTATAATGTGAGAAAAAACGTGATCGTGACAGCAACAGTCTGGACGAGCGAGAATACAGATGACTTTTATTAAAAGACAATCGAGCCACATTTAGCTTTAATCCAACAGTGAAAAGTTTTCCAGTTAATTGATTAAGTTAAGTCTGGATTGATAGGTGGTCCGGTCTGCTTTGAGATGCGGCCCGCCGATTACATAATCCTGGACTGAAGTCTGGCTGTTTTTAACTAATGACAGATGAGTATCTATAGAGACAGCAGAAGCACTGTGCTGTGGTGAACATTCTGCTGCGGTTCAGGAAAACTCAGTTTGTGAGGAGGTGGTACCTGGAGCAGAAGGCCGCATCCAGAGCGCGTTTCTGTCTGTGGCTCTTGTGCTGCGACTCCAGCCGGTATGACGGGAGCAGCATCAGCAGCAGGTGTGGAGACTGACCGCTGTGACGGCGCTTTTTAAACATCTTCAGATCCCCTCCGTGCACAAAGCTGTCATCTATACCTGTGAACCGCGCAGAAACCAGACAATGTGTTAGACTGTTTTTTATCAACAAAGACATTCCTGTAGCTCAAACAGTAGAGCGGTACAGCAAGGTCATATGCTAAAAAAATCGTTTTGAAATTTTTAACGAAATCTTTGAAATTTTACCGCACGGTCATACTCTAAAAAATGATTTTTGAAATTGTTTCTTTGTCGTTCTCATTCTATTTCTGAGTGAAAACTGTTTCTACACCAATTTTGTTTTTCAGCGTAGGTTCGATTTACCAGGAATGCATGAACTAATAAATTGTTTACACTGAAAAAAGTGAAACAACGTTTATTCCATTTCGTAAAATCGAAAATCATGGTATTTTGTTCAATTTGTCTAAAAGTATATAACACTCCCATAAAAAAAAAACAAAAAAAACAATTTTCGCTAAATAATATTTTGGCTTCATAAATAAACAAATAAATAAACAAAAAGAATAATTTTTTCTAGTGTTTTTTTAGTACATAACAGAATATCAGAATAAACATTAAGGTCTTTCGAAGTTGTCTTTATTTATTCGAAGTAAACTAAATTAAATAACAAACTGTTTTTGTGAAAATACTACTTTCATATTATAGCTAATTTAACTTTTGTTTAAGGCGAAATTAAACCAAAATAGTATACTGACATACATTAAGTAACATTTTTCGTTCTAAAGAAAATATATTGATTAGGTATTGCATGGTCTTTGTATGATTGTTTTTGAATTTGGGAAAATATATAATATATAATAATATAATATATAAATGATATATTATAAATAATAGTTTGATTAATATTAAATCAATCTTTTTTGTTACCCAAGTTGGTCCTCTCTCTCTCTCTCTCTCTATATATATATATACTGTATATATATAAAAAAATATTTAAATGATAAAAGTGTCATAAATGTAAATGTGTACTAATGCACTTAACCATTAGAGGCTGTGTGTTGCTGTGATTTTAATACCAGTAGCCTAATTAAAATGGAGTTTAAAAAAAATAAAGTTTTAATACAGTATGAATCCTGTAAGAATTACCCATAAACATGCTTTCATGCACACAACATATGTAATATTTCAGGAACATTAGAGGATTTTTAATAATCATGAAGAGGTTCAATAAAACCATTAAACCATTCATTAAACTGTGAATTGACTAACTTTTAGGATTAATTAAATATTGTTTGAAAACACTGTCAAAACATCTTTAAATAATAATACAAATAATAATAAATTATTATATTTTTTTTAAATGATCATTTATTTTAATAAGATCATATAGTCAAGGAGAAGAATCAACACATGTCCATCAAACATAAAAACTTCTTCAGTTCTTTTTTTTAAAGCAGTATCTGACTAGAAGCTAGAATCTAGACAAAGGGTGGAAACTCTTGAAGAAGTTCAAATATAAGCTAGTTTTCATTTGTTTAACATTTTTCAGTTACTACATAATTCCCATGCCTCCATTTGTGTTGTTTCATAGTTTTGATGACTTTATTATTATTTTAAAACGTGACAAATAGGCCTCATCTAGAATGAGTAGGTGTGTCCAGACTTTGGACTGCTAATGTGCTTTTAAGTAAACGTTTGTTTTGAATTGATTTGCTCCAATTCAGCCCTTAATCAGACCCAATCCTTTCAGACAAATATATATATCTGATGGAATCTATGAAGAATCAAAAACACTGATTTCCATTGCAAAGCGCGCCTCCAGCTCCTCGCTCTTGTTGGGGATGATGTAATTATTTGAAGGCACAAATGTGCAGCAGGGACAGTGCAGGCTGATCTTGAATCCATTGTTTCTGTCTGGTGGGAGAGAAAAGTGTTTACGTTGGACAGCACAGCTCTTAATGCGTAAAACACTGCTTCAGCTGCGATGCTGCAACAGCTCAGCTTCCTTCCATCAGGCCACGGAGGTGAACGTGGGATGGAGAGGCTCAGACGGAGGCCAAAAAAGAGATTGTTAATTGTAGAGTTGTTAGAAGGGTCTGCTGTCGCTTTTGGGCCACTTTGGAGTCTAGTTACACAACTGCTGATATGGAGATAAATCTCCACGCTGAATGGTAAAAACACTTGATTGATTTAACAGCTGCTGAATTACCAAGGTGGAGTGTTCCTTTAAAGAACTCCTCTTCTGTGATGAAAAAAAAAAAAAAATATATATATATATATGTTGAAAAGAAAACTTTATTTAGTAGTTAATCTTGTATTGTATTTATTAGAGAAAAAGAACGAAACAATAATATTATTTCTTAAAACATTTTTTATTATTATTTAGGAATTAGTAATTCTTAAAATTTGAGAAAAAAAAAACACCTGTGATGAACATGCTCTTCATTTCTGAATTAATATTGATTCTGATATCATGATGAAGAAATTGTAATACTTTGTCATTATGTCTTAGAGAAATATTTTCATTATTTATCAAATTAAAAATGATAAATAATTATCATAAAAAAACACCTCTTCTGTGATTAACATGTTTTTCATTATTGAATCAATATAGATTTTGAATTTCAAAAATGTCATCCTTATTAAAAGGTCAAAACTGTTGAAAAGAAAACCTTATCAAGAAGTATGGCATCTATTATTGCTATTTCTAGGGAATAAATAAAAACTAAAATAAGCAGTGAAGCAGTTTTGTTAAAATATGTGACCCTGGAGCACAAAAGCAGTCTTAAGTCGCTGGGGTATATTTGTAGCAATAGCCAAAAATACATTGTATGGGTCAAAATTATTGATTTTTCTTTTATGCCAAAAATCATTAGGATATTAAGTAAAGATCATGTTCCATTAATATATTTTGTTAATTTCCTACCGTAAATATATCAAAGCTTAATTTTTGATTAGTAATATGCATTGCTAAGGACTTCATTTGGACAACTTTAAAGGCGATTTTCTCATTATTTAGATTTTTTTGCACCCTCAGATTTTCAAATAGTTGTATCTCGGCCAAATATTGTCCTATCCTAACAAACCATACATCAATGGAAAGCTTATTTATTTAGCTTTCAGATGATGTATAAATCTCAATTTTGAAAAATTGACACTTAAGACTGGTTTTGTGGTCCAGGGTCACATATGATAAACATTAGAAAAACTTTTGTCCACCAATTAAAAGTGACTTTCAACGTCAATGATATTTATTGAATATTAATTCATGAAATTTGGGGGAAAAAAGTTTGTCTTTCTATTTTTTGGTCTTGTGGTTTGACAGCTTGGATAAAGTATATAAATAGGGAAACTGCATATTATATTACTCTTTCTGATCTTTCAGTTTGAGCTGTTTCACCATTTTTATACATCAAACTTCAAACAAACTCTACTTGGTTCATTCCTGAAGTGAACTTTTGCCTGTATGGTGATTAGATTCACTGTTTTTGACTCCCTTCTTGAACTAGTCAATGTAATACCTATCTAATTAAACACATAATATGTGACTCTGGAGCACAAAAGCAGTCTTAAGTCGCTGGGGTATATTTGTAGCAATAGCCAAAAATACATTGTATGGGTCAAAATTA